TGCTATGTGGAGCTGGGGATAGAACCTGGGTTGGCCAGGTGCAAAGTGAGCACCTTAGTAACCACTGTGCAATCTCTCGGGCCCACAGGATGAATTTTGTTCTTAGGATACATGTCCTCTTTTTGTTGCTGTCATTGTTGTTGTTCTCTGTTTTGTTTTCAGTTTATTCTGAGTGGGGCTCAGACTTGATTCCTGGCTCCGTGCTCAGGGATCACTTCTGGTGGTGCTCCCGGGGACCTTATGCAGCGCTGGGGAAAGAACCAGGGTCGGCCACTGGCAAGTCCCATGTTTGAACCCTCGTGTGAACCTAGGTTGCTCTCTTTCGGTCACTTTTCTCTGAAAAGGTTTGCTTCATTTACAACACAGAGAGCTTGGGGCAGCTGATCTGGAAAGCACATGTCTCTGAGCATTTCTGCTCTGACTTACAGCCTCCATCCTGATGCAGAACTGTGTGCTACAGTGGTGGAGCTCGGTAGTACAATGCAGAGGGCAGCTGGACAGCCCCCCTCCCCGCCCCCACACTCTAGAGCACCAGTGATAACAGGAGCAAAACCACCTCGGACAAAAAACCAGTTTGCTGTATGTGCACGTGTGTGTGTGTGTGGGGGGGGGGGGTCGGGGTGAGGAGCCCTAGCTCTCAGGAATCTTTGGCTCTGAACTCAGACTCATCACAGCCTACCACCCTCTGTCTCTTTCCATTCTATGTCTTTTAAGTTTGATTTTGTTTTGGGGGTCACACCCAGTGATGCTCAGGTATTACTCCTGGCTATGTTGCAAGAATTACTCCTGGTGGTATTCTGGGAACCATACGGGATGCTGGGGATCGAACCCCAGTTGGCCACATGCAAGGCAAGTGCCTCACCCGCTGTTCTATTGCTTCAGCCCCTTTATGTCTTTTTTTTTTCTAATCTGCCCAGGACATCCAAGCTTTATGCACTCACGTGGCATATTTAAGAGGTGATTCCGGAAACCATCAGTAAGAGAATCAGACGGAGAGCAAAGTGCTGCTAAGAAAACAAGGTACCCCTTGTTGAAACCAGGCTCATTCTGCTGGTGTCTTTGGAGAGCAGTAGAGAGGGGAGTCAGCAAACTCATCTGGAAATGGCCAGAGACTAATGTGAATTTTTAATTTGCTTTATAGGCCCTGGGGTGTCTGCCCTTGTGGGGAGAAAGCCATAGTCTTACGCATCCATTACACAAGCACTGAGCAAATTATCTGTGCTTGTCAGGGCAGGTGGTGGGCTGGCATCAGGGGTCCCCCCTTTAATCTCCTCTTGATACACAGTGGACTTCCAAAGGTCTGGGGTTTTTTTGTTTTTGTTTGGGGGACACACTCATTGCTGCTAGCGCTTACTCCGGGATGTGCTCAGGGGTCGCTCCTGGTGGTGCTGGGGTGAGGGGCCCATATATAGTGCTGGAGATTGAACCATGGTCAACCGCATGCAAGGCCCTACCTTCTAGACTATCTCTGCGGCAGAGTTGTTGCATCTTTCTTTCCCAACCTACACTCTCTGGCATGCTCCAACCCAGGTGCAGAATCACCTGGTGCTGATGAGAAAGGGGAGGGTGTGCCCCTCAGTAAGAGGTGAGGGGTGGGGGAGGGAGAGAGAAGAGGAAGGGGTGAGCAGGGAGGGCACTGACATCCCTGATGCCATGAGAGGACCATGGGCTAAACATGGCTGAGAGACCAGAGTTCATGCCTCTAGGAAGCCGACAGGAGCAAGGCAGTGCCTGTGACTATGATTTTCAGGTTTGCTGTTGTTGCTTTTTGTTTTTGCTGCAAGAGACTCCAGCAAAAACTGGGTCTGGTGCTTCCCAACTGCACTTCCACATCGACCCAGGCACTCGGGTCCCAGTGTGTGCAGTTTGGGAGTGACCCCTCTGTGACTTTCCCCAGGAAAAGAACTGTTTGTCTGCTCTCAGAATAGCTTGGAAAGTCCCTGAGAATCTCCAGAAGTGCAAAGAGACATGAACGTAGGACTCTTTCTCAGTGACTTTGTAAAATTTCCTCATTCTGTGCATCTAGCATCTTGCCTCAATGAACATGCGGTCGGTGGTCTGCTCGGACATACGGTGAATACGACGACTTGTTGCAAAGACCAGTGGACGACGAACATAGAGATGGTTGTTCCATCTCATCACTGGTTAGGTAAAGGCGACCAATAAGGAATACAATAAGGAAAACAATACAATGCCTTGCTGGGCATGGTATTACCCAACAATTAAACTCTAGATTCAGAAGAACAACGTGGAGAAAGAGGACTCAGTAGCATCATACCTGTAGTGTGTATTTTCTGATTAGTGAAATCCATCTCTTTTTATCAACATCCCCCTTCTTACTCTGAACCCCAGAGCACAAGTCATGAGGGTGCGTGTTGGTCATGGGGGGTCATCCCCTTGCCTGGGGGGACATGTGAGTCTATAGCTCAGTCCTGAGGGGGCCAAAGGGAAGCTGAGGACATGCTTGCCCATGTTCCTGGGGTCTCTGTAGGAGACAGTCCCAACTCAATGGAGGAGGCAGAACTGGAGGCGGAAGGAAGGGCTCCGAGCTCACAGGAGGGCCTTCTCACAAGTGTGAAGAACAAAACCTTTGCTTTTCAGTCATTGACATCTTCTCTTACTCATAGCCCAAAGTCTTCTAACTGATCTATGGAAGCAACTACTATCACTATCCTATCATCTTGTTCATCGATTTGCTTGAGTGGGTGCCAGTAACGTCTCCATTTGACCCTGTTATGTGCTAGTGTAGCCCAATGGCATATTGGGAGCTCTTTCAGAGTCGGGGGAATGAGGACCATCATTGTTACTGTTTTTGGCATATCGAGTACACCACGAGTAGCTTGCCAGCCTCTGCGGTGCGGGCAGGATATTCTCGGTAACTTGCCGGGCTCTCCGAGAGGGATGGAGGCTTTTGGGGCAGCCTCTAATTACTTTTACAGGTGTTCGCAGTCAGGCATATATGTGGGCAGGATACTCTTGGTAGCTTGCCAGGTTCTCTGAGAGCGAGAACTAGACAGTAAGAGGTCGCTTGGCCGAGAATGCGACCACATGCTTCTGGGAGCTTGGTTTTATAGTCCCTGGATCTTGGCCGTTGATGGGGTTACATGGCAGTTGGTGGGGGTAACTGTCTAGCCACTGGAAGATGGGGGATCTGGGTTGCAATTGATTGCAATACTGCATGGAATAATGGGGCATTAGGGCTGAACTGAACATACATTTGTAAGAATTTAGGGACGTTAATCATAGCTTGGCAATACTACTGAATTCAAGGTAGTTGATAAAAACAATAAGGTACATTTTTTTTTCTTTTTGGGTCACACCAAGCAATGCTCAGAGGTTACTCCTGGCTCTGCACTCAGGAATTACTCCTGGCGGTTCTCAGGGGACCATATAGGACGCTGGCAATCAAACAGGTCGGCCATGCGCAAGGCAAATGCCCTACCTGCTGTGCTATCGCTCCAGCCCCAATAAGGTACATTTTAATGCACTGATTTCATCATGCCAAGATCTAAAAGACACATTCCTAGTTTTTTTTTTTAATGATTTTGAGTCACACTGGAGGTATGGGGGTGGGAGGAGCAGATGGTGCCAGAGTTGGCTCCCTGGGGCCACACATATGCAAGGTGTGTGCTCTACTATTTGAATCATCTCCTCAGTCCCCATATTCTTAAGTTTTAGAAAGTCAAAATAACACAAGTAGTAGAACTCTGTTTGTGGAAAACAAACATATCCTCAAAATATAAAGACAAATCTATACACACACACCCTATCGGAAAAAAATGTGGGAACAATATAAAAGTATTGACTTTTGGTGATAAGAGATGGACAGAAAGTGATAAGTCCAAGGAGACTTTTGCCTTTTTGGTAACACAAATGAGTTTCATTTCATTTCTGACTTTAAAGAAACTCATCATTAAAAAGTCATGCAGGAGAAACCTCCCATAAGCTCATTACAGAAAAATCCAGCAAATGCTGGTAGGTACAGATGTGAGTTTTGTTCAAACCGTGCAAGCCAGAGGTGCTTGGTTTTCTTTTTTCAAAACAGTGATTTTAGTTTTCCTGAGAACAAAGAGGAACTTTTCAGGCCCTCCAAGGCTTCCTTTTTTTTTTTTTTATTTTGTATCTGGCACAAAAACTTGGATCGCTCAGTGTTTTTAATCAGAAGCAACTTGTCCAGCAGATACTGGCAGTTTTCTTAGCCTGCAGGAATAAACCTTTTTTTTTTTTTATGTAAGCTCCGTTTTTAAAAAATAGTGTTTTTTTCTTTTTCTTTTTTTTTTTTTTTGACTGGGTAGGGGGGCGGATCACACCTGGTGATGCTTAAGGGTTACTCTTGACTCTGCACTCAGAAATTAACCCTGGCGGGGCTGGAGGACCACATGGGATGCAGGGGATTGAACCTGGGTTGATTGTGGGCAAGGAAAACACCCTCTTCACTGTGCTATTGCTTTGGCCCCAAGGAATAAAGCTTTGAGTGTTGTGTTTGTGTGTGAGAATGTGTGTGTGTGTGTGTGTGTGTGTGTGTGTGTGTGTGTGTGTGTGTGTGATTGAGAGAGAGAGAGACAGAGATAGAAGCTCAGTGGAGAATTCCCCATAGGAATGTTTTCACCCTTTTCTCTCCTAGCACCAGACTTTCTCCCCCCCCTTCCCCCCCACCCCGGAGTACCAACTTGACTTTCCAGAGTGGATGGGGCTGGTGGTGGTTGCACTGTGCTGGCCTCCCTTCCAGGAGTTGGGGAGCAAAGAAAGGCGCAAAGTCTGTCCCCGTGGAAAGAGACGGCTGCTCCGTCGGAACTGGAAGAGAGGTGGTTGGAGGTCTATGTACACCCCTGTAGCAGGATGTCAAGACCCCCCCACACCATGGGGCAGTGGTGGGGGCGGGGGTGGGGCTGCAGTAGAAAAGGGGCAGAGCCAGAGAGCTCGGACCAGAACAGGAGTCGGGAGTTCTAAAGGAGGATGGGCCAGGACGGCTGGGACTGTTGTTTAGAGTCACAACCCACTTCATCCAGAAGTCTAGGAAAGAGACAGTTCCGCAGGGACGCTTCCTCCAGGCTGAATCCCACCTGAAGCCCGAGAGCCGTCATCTTGCTGACGCCCTCTGCTGGCGAGAAACTGAAACGCATGCGGGATGCAGGACCTGGGTGGGGCCTTGGGTCAGTCCAGCCCTCAGGACACTCGGTGGAGACAAACCGTCTGCTCCCGCATAGAACAGTGCAGCGACGTCACCAATCTAAGCTGCACGTTCCTGTAAATTATGAAAGTTACCCTCCAAATGCAGGCAATCTAGGGACAAAGCCAGCCCAGGTTGCATAGGGGTCCCCCATCATCCGGGGACTGAAATCTGTGAGGGACTTAACCCACAATGCACCTTATCTCCACTGCTAAGACAATCAGGGTGTCATTCAAAATAGAAATTAGAAGATCGGATAAGAGGGACAGTGAGTGCAAGCCAGGGCTTAACTGTGGGGCACCCATGCCTTCCAATGCACTCTTCTGCCCCCACCCCCAGGCACTGCCACAAACCCAAGGAGGAGCTGGTAGGTGACCCACCCCATAGCGTTCCTGGAGTTTTGATGACATGGCATCCTGATCAGGGCGACTGAGCAGATGACTGGCTCCCGACCCATCTCCGGCAGCACCTGGCAAGCCCCAGGGACAGCTGAAGCCAATGCGGGTCTCAGACTGGTTGGTCCCCAGTGGCACGTGCCTAGAGCAGGCAGAGGATGGCATGGCTAGCTGTCATCTCCCAGTTCCAGCTCCCTGAGCTGTAATGAGCAAAATTTGTCTTTGAGCCTTGATCTGCTGTCAGCAGGGCTGACACTGCGTCTGGGCATTAATTTCTTCTTGAGCTGTCTCACACTGCAGCCCGCAGAGGAGTGAAGAAAGAAGTGGGATTTGCTGGAGCCGTTTTCTTGTTAGCAGGCGAACTAGAGGTCCGAGCCCTGGCCCTGTGCTGTGTTTTCAGAAGCAGGCAGAGCCCCTCATGAAGCGTCTTTCATTCTGGAGCCAGCACCTGGCACGTTGGTTGCTCTCATTACCCACTCTCTCTGCACATCCTCTGCTGTCTCCTCCATTGGCCAGGCAAGGCTGCTTCCACAGAAACCCAAGGACCCCGCCAGATCTTTGCATCTGCCTAGAACACACTCTCCCCATCTCATCTGAGTACCCTGGGGATGGCTCTCGTCCTACGATAACGGGTCTCGCTGTAATGGGTACTTGACTCAGAGATCTGGAGTTGGCAGAACCACAAATGCATGCATTCAAGGGGAGATGGGGGACGGGGGGGAATAAGGTAATCCAGTGGCAGGAAGCTCAGCTACTTGATGTTCCATCTCTGGGGCTTGTAGGAAGGGTCTGACCATTGAGATCTGCATGTCCCCTTCTTCCTCTCTGCACTTCAGCTCTTCCTCGTGCTATCGTGGCCGCTCCTAGCCCTGGCCTCAACTCCATAGTTAGAGGCTGCATCTGGGTCCAAAGTGAAAAATTCCCAGATCAGAGAATCTGATTGGGGCAGCTTCTATCAGGTGTCTTTCGTCTGGTCCAATCATCTGTGACTTGGAGGGTGGGACAATGCAATGGGCAGTGCTTTCTGTCTAGAAGCTGGGAGAGCATGGCTGGAGCCAGAAGATCCCTGTATGAATTCCAGAAAGAGATGCAGTATTTTGGCAAAGGCAGATGGAAATTTAAATTTCTGCTCATGTGCTGCAGGATCCGAGGTCATTCAGCCTCTCTAACCTCTCATTGTGGCTGTCTCAGTGTTGGTCACTCTCTGGCTCTAGGTGATGGAATCCTTTATCATGACCTTTGGGAGTTTTCCTCCTCCTCTCTCACTCTTCAGTTCCCCCATTTCTGTTTTTTTTTTGAATCTTTAGTCAAAGACAAAGCAAGAAGAAAAACTGGGAACCTGGAGGATGGAGGAGTTTGAGTCAAAAAAGGAAACGGTGTAGAGTAGTGCTTTTCAATATCTGGGGCCAGTGAAAGTCCACAGATACTAATGATGGGAAACTGTTGCCTTAAGATAGAAAGTACACTTAATTTCCTATCAAATTCAGATGAGCTTAAACTGGAGAGATAGTATGGGGGTGTAAGGCACTTGTCTTGAATCCCCTAATCCCAATTCGAATCCCCAGCATCACACAATCCCCCAAGCACTCCCATGGGTCAGTTCTGAGCACCGTCACGAATAGCCTGAGCACTTCTGACTATGGCTCAACCGTCACCCTCAATTAGATATCTTGTGTGTGTGTGTGTGTGTGTGTGTGTGTTTAATTTAACAATGGTGGGTGTTGGATGACATTGGTTTGTCCTTGCTCCTCCTGCAGGTTTCTTGAGTTACTCCCACCACAGTGCTCCCAAGGCACACCCAATTCCATCAGGCACTAATAATCCTACATTGCTTTTCTCTTTCCTTTATGTCCTTTGCATGGTATAGCAATGTCCTTTTTTATAGACACAGGAAGACAGTTGATGTTATGTTTTTGTAACACGGGAGTTCATTGACTCCAAATAATATTTACTCCTGGGCATCCATCATATTTACTTGACTTAAGCCGCAGTTTCCCTTAGTGACTAACACTCTGGGATCCTGGTGTAGGACAAGGATGAACCCAGGGCAAGCTTTAAGCTACCCTGGCATCGGAAAGGGGACACGCTAAGCGTCATAAGAAGTATAGTTAAGAGCATGATCATGGAACAAACTCTGTCATAACCTCCCAAAAAGTAACTGAACAAGGACCCTGGTGGGGTTAGAAAAGACTAACCTGGCCTGAGGACTGTAATCCCAGATGTATATCTTGGATGTAGAATGAGATGTCCCCAGGAAGAGCCACTCTTTAAGCGGAACATATCTCTTAGTCTGTTCATGCGGAATGACTAGAAATATTGGTAAGAAGTAAATTCAATATGATTATTTAAATGGATCACTAACTAAGGAAAGGAGAAAACAATACACATTTAGATGGAATGTTGCCTTGGGCGGATCTCCTCGGATCTCCTAGAATGCTGAACTCCCAGATGAGATTTTGTCCCTGATTTAATCGAGAAGAACTTCCCCTGAAGGAGGGGCTTTGCCTCTGTTTTTGGTTATGATAATGTGCAACCCCACTTACACGAACCCCCACCCCTCACAATTTCTATATAAATACACTGTAAGAGAGAAGTGAGGATGAAATAAAGGATCAGTGATCACCAACCAGCCTGGGGCCCAGTTTATCTGTCACCATTGGCCGGCCTGGGGTGGCGGTTCTGGGCTGCCTAAGCACACGTCACACACACTTTGAACTCACAGCTGGGTGTGGGCATGGGAGGGGAAAACAAAACACACTTTTCGTTTGCCTGGAACTTTTTACTGCTTACAGGAACAGAAGGGAGACCCCTGGGACTGGGGAGTCGCCCCAGGCAGCCTGTCCTAGGGCACACCTGTTCGTCCCTCTGCAGTATACTCACAGATTACCTCCCGCCATATCCACCTTCTCCCTGGTGCCACTTGCAGTGCTAATTCCTGAAAATGCCCCTATCATGGGCTCATTTGAAGTCAGAGTAAAAAGAAATCTTGGGAACACCACGGTAACTAGAAAGCCGAGTTTGCTTGTCACAAACAGGAGGTGACTGTGAAAGCAAGTACAAGAAAAAGTGAAATGACATCATTCCATCACAACCTGGCGCTGCTCTCTGCACGGGGCTCTGAGTCTGGAACCCACTTGTTCTTTGTTACGTGGGACAACAAATACAGCAGAGAAGCCTTAAGACAGTGAACTAGCACTAAATGCAGATTTTCTCCTTTGCATAGTCATCGTAGGAGGGAGTGGAGGTTGGAAAAGAAGCCGCGATGTAATGTGATTTTATGTTTGCATCTGTGTAACGCCGATAAAGCAAATCTCACTGTTTGCTAGTGGCACATGTCTCACCTGCAGGGAAACTCTGGGAAAAGAATACCAGCATCCAGATCGGGGATAAAAGGAAGAGATCTAAAATCCCTTCCAAGCCTTTCAGCTTGTGTGACCCTCAGGATCTCATTGTGTAAATTTCTCACCCAACATCCTATGCTGGCTGATGTTTGCTTAACCACCTGCTTTCCAGAAGATGAAACAAAAATAGGACCCCTCCCCACCTCCTTGTAGCATTTGCCCATTCCTATGAGGTCAATACTCCCACTATGACTAATTTTCAGTTAACGGCAAGGGTTCCTGGATACAAACTTGGAAAAAGGTGAGTGCAGTTGGTTCTTGGATGATAACATGTCCCGGTGTTGATGGCAAGTGACTGTCCCTGATCATCATGGAATCCTCTCAAGGATACAAGATGAGACCATATCCAAGAGATCTGGATCCAAGAGGAGGAAGTTTCTATTATGCCTCTAAGATTATTGGCCATCTATACCAGTGTTTCTCAAGCTCTCTCCAACTCTGACTCAGCCTGCTGCCCTTGCTAACTACTTTCTCCTTTGTGGTCCCTTCTCTCCTACTGGTTGACCCCCTGGACTCATTTGCTGGTCCCTTCCACCCATTGACACAATTTGCACGCGTAGCCTCCTTGGAAAATGCTGGATTAGAGCATCTGTTTATGAGAGAGGGGTAAGAAATCTCTCTGCAGTTCCAGGTCACAGACTGGTTTTAGTAATGTATTTTGGGTCACACCCACAGTGCTCAGGGCTTGCTCCTGGCTCTACACTCAGGGATCACCACATTATGTGGTGCCGGGGATCGAACCCAGGTTGACCATATGCAAGGCAAGCAACCTCTCTGATGGACTGTCGTCTCTCCAGCTCACTGAGCTGCCTTCTTGCCCACATGCCCTCCACAAAGGCATTTTAGTAACTCCCAGAGTTGGGGGACTTGACTCCCAGCGTCCCTGGATTTAATTCATGCTGTGTTTTGCCTGCTGTGTCTGATTAGTAGCTTTGCTTAGAATCCCAGTGCGCTGCCCTGACTTTAGCTCCTGTTTAGCTTTGAGGCATGCTGCCAGGGTGATCCCCCCTCCAGTAGCTCCCATGGATCGGTTCACGAACCAGTTGTGACCTTTCTAAGTGCAGCCGCACCCCGCCCCACCCATTTCAGTGGCCGTCAGCTCTTACATGCAGAATGTG